ACAATGGGGATGATGACAGGGTATGAAAATTAAAAATATAATTAGTCCGTAACTTAGGTAATAAAAAAATATTAGACACGTATTTTTTTATTTTGTTGTATAATAAAACAATACTTAGATAAAACGAATCAAAGTTTAGGAGTGGGGGCTAAAACGTCATTTCTTAGTATAAAATGTACTGAGAAGTGACGTCACGCGACATTTCAAATCAATATATCTTCGAAACTATTCGTTTCCGTAAGAAAATAAAAAATACGTGTCTAATGTTTTTAAATAATCTACCAGACGGACATTAAAATAAAAATTAGTCGTCTACCCTATTAGATTTAATTTTCATACTCGGTCATCATCCCTATTATCAGGTCTTCATAATCTTCAAGTCATTTTGGCTTCAGCTTCAATACTTCCAACGCTCCTTTATGGAGAGATTTTTGCATAACTAGGTAATCTCCAATCCCTAAAAACCGGCAACACACTTGTGCCTCTAAGTTTAGGTGCCAATTGCTTACCATTGGGTGGATTCTTCTGCTCGTAATTTTGTTTGTATTGACAACAACTTTGAGTTGTTTGTTTTGGTCGAAAATTATCTACATGACAACAGCAGAAATCCCACTTATCGCTTGTTATGTAATGTTTTCATTTATTCGTCTAAAAACCTATTTGTTATTTGAAAATTTCAAATACCTACCCTTTGACCCCGAAAATTAAATAAGAAAACAGATAATTTTATCTCTGTACACATTTTTGAAACGACAAAGTTCAAATTTATTTTTATTACTAATTAAATATTTTTTCAGGCCTGTCCACGCAATAGGTTTCGCGACTTTAGCGGGCTCTACAGGCTTGGGTCTACTATACTTCGGAGTGAACCCACTCACAGCCGCCCTCGGCGCCACAAACTTAATACTTTACACGTCCGTCTATACGCCTATGAAGAGAATGTCCATATACAATACCTGGCTAGGGTCTGTAGGTAAGTAACTACATAAAAACAACTAGGTATTCCTGTATTGAAACTTTTGTTCAACTTCTCTAAGTCAATGGAAACCTATGTTACACGACAGATCTCTCATAAACAAATCATTTTAACTGTTCTTTTTTCATTAAAATAGTATTACAGGTACCTTACAGATCACTAAATGTTCCTCCTCTATGTACAGTTGGAGCTATACCTCCTCTAATGGGCTGGGCGGGGTGCTCGGGTGCGCTGGACCCGGGCGCGATAGTGCTCAGCGTGATCCTATACTCTTGGCAGTTCCCACACTTCAACGCACTCTCCTGGAACCTACGGCCAGACTACTCGCGCGCCGGCTACAGAATGATGGCCGTCACTGATCCTGGTAATTTTACATTCTAATATGAACTTTATGCCTTTTAGATAAAGTGCTAGAAGGCTTCAAAATGATTCGGATAGCAACAATCAGTAGGCGTTATCACGAGAAAGGTTGATTATTATTATTTCTTAATTACAGAGGTTGGTACTTTAACATTGTTTTATTCTTCCAGCGCTGTGCAGGAGGGTAGCCCTGAGACACACGGGAGTGATCATGGGAGCGTGCCTTGCCTCATCTTACCTCGAAGTTACAAACACGTGGTTCGCACTAGAATCGCTACCGTTAAACGTTTATTTTATGTACTTAGGTAAGTCTTATGTACGAATAATCTTTTACATTATCATTGTGTATGTAAACAAAGATACATGTGTCTATAGTTTACTGGCTTATCACTTTTATTATAATTAATTGTGTAAACAATATTCAGTAATATCAATTCGCTAATTACCTTTCCATTGTCCACAGCATGGCAATTTCACCAGAAATCGGACAGTAACAGTTCGAGGAAACTGTTTAGGTTTTCTCTAATACATTTACCGGCACTCATGTTGCTGATGCTAGTCAATAAGAAGAATTGGTACAAGAGTGAGACTCAGGAGCAGGAAACTACAAAGGTGCAGGATGTCAAGATCCCCGACTCCAGAATATCAGTACTACCGCGCAGGCCCGTGGTAGCGGCGCAGGAGTCGGACCTGTCGCCATAGAAAAGCAACCACTGATCGATAATAATCGCTACAATATCATTGGTTACCTATAAAATAAGTCAATAATTTATTATTTATGTCAATTTGGTGGCAAATCAGTCGGCAAGAGTCGTACAATTCGCATGTTGGCTAGTTGCGTCGTACTGGGTGCCTAGTGCGAATTTGTTCTTACGTTAACGTTACCGCCTTTAACGCTGATTGGTTGATCAACTTTGAGCAGCCAATCAAAGCGTAGAACGTGATAAACGTGTCGATCGTGATAGCGCACAACAAACTCGTACTGATAGAAAATGTCGATATAAGACGAGGTTATATGCAACTTGTGCAAAATAAGTTACATGTAAAATTGTATCGCTGCGATACCTACGTTTGTTGCCGATCAGTGATCCTTGCTAACCTTATAATCTACACAATACATGTAGATGTAGTACTTATGTAAATAATGTACATTATAATTATGTGATTCACTTAGATGTACGTAATATAGTAATAACGTCGTAACCTCAGATTGTTATTTGTCACAAAGCCAAGTAACGTGTGCGGTGTGCATACCTCTATTGAAATTATGTTCAAACAAAAATATTCTCGAAAGTACTCAATAGTATTTTGATGTATTATTATTTATTACATCTTGCCTTTGATTGTAATTTGTGTAGGATCAGATTATGATTAGTCCATGACTTGGGATTAAATGAAATCAATAAATAATAAATCCTTACATTTATTTTTGTGGTATAATTTAAATTACAATTTCAGTTTTCATTGGAATCAGAAATAAACTACATACATACAAACATTCAGACCTGATTTGAACAACGCGCAGACGGACATTGGGTGTGAGAACACAGTAACAAATGTAACGAGCCGTGAGCGACAAATGAAACCCGTGTTTGTTCCTTACGACATCATAACTCTTTGTCAGATTATTTCCTGAAACAAAATAGTACATGATTTATAATATTGCTTGTACGAACTTGTTAACTTGACTAGACTTATTGATTTATAATAGATTTTAAGATTTCAAATTACTTCAATCGATTTTCAACTTTATTGCTTTTCCGTAAAGTCGGATATTGAATGAATGTTAGGTCAACTAAAACACTGAAGATGAGATTTCACTTCTCTAAAAATTGAACTAAGTACACCACTATTACGCAAATCAGAATAGTGATACTCACTTAGCTTTCTTAGGAGTACGGTCATGTTCCCGGCTGTCGTCGCGGGAACGTTTGTGCGACTTGTCGCTGGAGTGCTTCTTGTCGCTCGACTTGTTGTGCGACTTGCTGTCACTCTTGCCGCGGTCGCGCTCGTGGTGGGACGACTTGTGGTGCTTGTCGCGGTTCTTTGAGGGGCTGGAGGTAATATGATGGAATTAGACAAAGCAAATAAACAGAAATTACTTGATATACAGAGTGTAAACAGACCGCTCCCAAAAAACAAGTTCTATTTTCATAAAAGTAAGCAATTCAATGTAATCAACTGATCAAGGCTAATGTTGCATGTAACACGAAAACATACAATTAAAATTGTAAAAAATATTTTTTGTTTGTCAGCAGTTTGGAAGTGTTCCGCTTACACCCTGTATGTAAACGTCTAGTTAAAATAGATATTACTAGAATTTCAGAAAATCGAATGACCAAAATACTTGTCCCGATTCGAGTGTCGAAACAAAGACTCGACAGACACGTTTGTAACGAACTTTAGAAACAAGTAAAACTAAAACGAACCTGCTGCTATTGTGTTTCGACGGACTCTTATGGTTTGAACTCTTATGATTGGAGCTTGAACTTTTGTGGTTTGAAGAACTCTTGTGGTTACTCGAGGATTTGTCATGTTTGCCCTTCTTGCTGTGGCCTTCATCCTCGAACCGACCGCCGCCACGCCCACCCTTGCGCTTGCGATCAAACTCTGTGGTTTCATTTCGATCATAACCTCTCTCTTTCTTGTCCTCTTCGGCAGCTTCACGTTCAAGATCCGACCAGTCCTTGCCTGATTCTTCGTCTTCTTCACCTGTAGGAAATAAATGTAATGTAGCCGTAAGTTTTATTTTTGGACACCAGCAACACTAGTGGAATTTACTGATATGTTGCCAGCCTTTACTATTTCTATAGAGTTTATTATGTTGGTCATGTTACAAAACGACAATAGACGGAAAGACAATAGAGAAAGTAAGAAAAAGAAATTAGTATGTGACATGATCGTAGAAAAAATCATAATATGCTGAACCCAACTAATTTGTGATATAAAAATATGTATGAAACTTACCATCACTGTCACCAGAGGCATCAGACTCGTCGGAAGCTTCCGAATCGTACTCGGAACCATCGTCGGAGTCCTCCTCGGTCTCCGCGTCAGTTGGCTCATATGCATCGTCTTCTTCCTCTGACGATTCATCCTATACAATGGATAACAGATTTTAAAAATATTTTCTACTAGAGTACAAAATAGTCACATAGATGGCACGTTAATCTACTCCAATTTGTCAAGTTTGTTGATTGGATTTTCGACTTTATGTCAATACCATAAAGTTGAAAAATGTAATAGAGAAATTTGACAAAAAAGGATAGGTTGACCTGTACTGACACCATATTATAAGAAAGTGGCATACACGAGAAATTATATTACGCGTATCATCTAAAGCACTAGAACTTACAACTACTTAGTAAAACCTAATATTACTCAAAATTATAAATCTAAAAATGTGACTTACGTTTTCAGCGTTCTCCTCATCAGACTCGGGGTCCAAGAACGACCAGCCACCGTTGTCGAAAAAGCCTTCGATATCGTCGGTGATAGTTTTCATGACCTTTGTCCAGTTCAGTGATTGAATACCTTCCGAGTAGCGGATGTCACAAGAGCTGAGAAAGAAATGAGATTCGTAAGATTTCTACTAAAAAATTACGGGCCAACCGGCCTGTAGCCTCATCAGTTAACAATTTATCTCATAGATTGTTATAGTACTTTTATATTAAAGATTATAATAGTAACTTATATACAACATACTACTCACTTAAGCCATTCCTTGACATGATCCAGCATGTTCATAGGCACAGCGTTCACCATGGCGACCTTCTTCGCGTAGTCTTTGAAAACGAACACCATATCGAAGTTCTTGAGGTGGAACTGCACTCTCTCGAAGTGTACGAGCTCGACATCTTCCAATGCTATGACGAATGGAGGCCATTCCGTCAGGTTGACGAGGGCTCCGGAGGTAGGTTGGAGGAGGACTGTGCTTCTAAATGGAGCACCAGGGAAACCCAATTCTCTGTGGAATAGAAAGAATTCATGTATTACTATCAAGCACGAAGTTTTGGTAACCACTAAGCGCCTTTGCAGACGATGTGACACGACGTCGTATTGTAAGGGGGCGTCCATAAATTACGTGAGATGTTTAAGGGGGGAGGGGGTAGACTCAAATCTCATCTAATCTTACGTTGGAGAGAGGGGGGTCTCGGCAAATATCACGTAATTTTTAATTGAGTAACATGCATTTGTTTTTTACGTGTAGTTATTCTATTGTTACATTTTTATTACACTTCTCTTAACTATCAGCAATATTGATTACTAGTCTTTACTAATCGTAAACAAAAGTACGAAGCAAATTTTTTTGCTTTAACAATTCAAATTTTGGAAAATCTCACGTGAGATTGAGGGATGGGGAGGGTGTTGAATAAAATCTCACGAAATCTCACCAGGGGGGAGGGAGGGAGAGAAAAATAAAAAAAAATTACCTCACGCAATTTATGGACGCCCCCTAAGCGCTTCCGATTTTCTTAATGATCATCTCTTTTGCCATAAGCCGGATTCATGTGTAGACTTGTTTAAACATGTAATAACTTGTCTTGCTCTTGTAGGACACGTTTTACGGACACGCCTCCGATACGACGTCAGGTAGGAGATGTCTTATAGTTTTGTGTTTTAACCCTTTTGAAAATATATTTTAACCCTTACTCACAATTTATACAATCTTACCTGAATGGCGTATCAAACTCGACCTCCTGCTTGGTCATGTTTTCGACTCTCTCGCAGAAGCTCTTGAAAGCGACCTTGAGCTTGTGTCTGAGTTCCCTCTCACTCTGTTCAGCTGCGAGGTCGTCTCTGTCGTGCATGTGTTGGTGCTTGCCCAAGTCAGTCGTGATCTCACCCACCTCCGTGTAGAATTGGACGTCAACGTGTTTCTTTTTACCTGTAGAATATATTAAGGGGTTATTTGATTGGCTCAGAAAATACTTAAAAAAAATCTTATTCATTTAGTTTACTTACCAAACATAATAGCATGTTTCAAATGGAAATGTAACAGTATAATCATCTCTCCATCACAAGGCTGGAAGAATGCGTTCTTAATATTATTGTACAAAATATCGACTTTGTCCCCTCTCACTGATGTGAACCTGAATCCATTAGTGTGTGCTTCTAGAGAGCCGCTCATTCTCTTTGTTACGATATTAGGTCTTATGTACAGATCTTTAAGTTTCGGATTGCCTTTACTCTGTGATAGAACCAGTGTGTCTTGTTTAACCAAGTCCTCCTTTTCTCTCTCTTCAGCTTCTCTTGTTTTGAACTTTTTCTGTACTTCTTTGATAAGTCTAAAGCCAGTGTTAAGGTTGGAGGATGGAGGGGATATCTCGCCTGGTTCTTTTGTATTTGTACTTCTGTATGTTCTGTAATTAGAAAAGAGAAATACTAAGTAACAGAGACAAACATTTCTGTACTTTTGCAGGGTGACTATGCAGTCAATGTGTGCTCACACAGTGACTTTCTTAGGGCAAAAAGTGCTGTTACAAGACAAATACTAAAATACAAAGTTGGTTATATCTGTAATTCTGTATGCAATACTTACACTTCTTTAACAAATGTGGCATCAGGTTGTGAGTAGTTTCCACCCTCGTTCCTGCCCATAGTCGCTCCAGGGTGGAAGAAGTTTATCCTAAGGTAAGTATAGTCGCCTTCAACTGACTGGGAGATGTTCTTTATCGTTGATATATGGAATGGTACGGGCACACCGAATATCGGCAATATAACTGTTTCATATTTGCGATCTACAAATAAAAAATAGAACAATTTATTGTACATATCATTTACATTAAATGTTCTCTTTTTAATCTGTGGCTGGCCATGGTACTGCGTCATATGGATATGTCAACTGTCAAACAACTTACGTCAGTCCCAAAGCAAAATGGCGTTTAGTGTTTTCATCCAATGACATAAGTCCAATGACATAATGGTTGAAACTGTTTGTTAGAATAAGTGTTCCAAACGAACATTTAACTTGATTTTCCATAATAACTCTTATACACCATATAAAAAAGAGTAATTTCTTTCTTTCCAACAATACTCACCAACATACAACTTGAGTTCTTTGACCTCATTCTCCCGTGGCATCTGGCTGGTACTCTTATAGGAGACAGTGCTTTTTCTCAACTTTTCCCCTTCCTTCCCGCTCGACTGTTTGGCTAACCGTTCTTTAGCTTTTTCATTGAGAGTAATGGCCAGTTCCCTTTGATGTTCCTTGCGTTTCTCCTCAGAAGAATGTTCCGTGCGCAGTTTGGATTCGATAACGGCTGTTCTTTTACCTCTACCTGAAATAATATTCGTTTTAGTAATCTGATCGTCTTGTACATGGGTTGTTATGAAGCGTGACTCGTTGCTGAGTACAGACTGAGCCTGTGACTATAGAATATTTATTTATTTCATTTTGAACTTTATTCTTAAACCATTTTAAGT